TGTTTAACAAAACATAAAGGAGCTTTTGAACTTGGGACTTTGTGGGTATGACAAGGGAAATTTTTTAGATCAACTGAACTTTGTAAAAAGAAGTACATGCACCTTCCCAAACGTAAGCAACAACCCTTAGAAGTTACACAATAAATTCTCATGTGAATCTGCAGGTGCTCTCATTAATAACCTGACAAAAGCCTCTGACCACCCCCATGTTCATCCACAGTGGATTCTCTCGTGCCCTATGTTTCTCCTGTTTCTGAGCCCTGCTAGCATTTGGGGACTTTCTCCCTTCCTGTCTCCAGGAACCGCTGTGTGATTCTGTATGTCTGTATCCATCTTTGGGGAGCAAGTCTCTGTGTTCTGGCAGCTGCATGACCCCTGACATGCTTCGTCAAGTGGAAAAAACTTCATAGTCTTCTGAGAGGAAACATATCTCTCTTGGTGGGGGCCCTGTGTGTTCCCTCACGAAACATCCTGTGTGACACTATTAAATAACACCCCTGACATCAGCGGTTAGGAATAAGACAGTTCTGTGACTTTTCAGTTGCTTAATGCTCCACATGATATCTGGGAAAGGGAAGGGCAGCAAATTGCTAAGGCTGAGGTGTCCCAGAAGTGAAACCTCTGGTCCATGGTTGTCGGCATACCAAGGTGCACAAATATCAGGCAGTATTTCCAGAGTGCTCTCTGTTCCTCCCTGGGACTTGCTGTTACTTATTAACAGAGACATTAAGTGTGAAGGACAATAGTCGAATGGAACTGCTTACTCTCTGGCAACTCCAACAAATAGCAGCTTTTTTTCTAAGCAGAAGGAATCCAATTTCTGAACAGAGCCAACATATAAATATTATTGCCTGGTCTTGCAAAATAAAGAATCAGAGTAACAGTTCCTGGTGTTGGTTATTGGTAAATACCTCACCAATAGTGCATAACTTAAAAGCTCACAAAACTGCTATTGTGGATTTTACCCAACCATTTAAAACCAGTTATCATCTTTGAACCTGCTATTACAATCATTGGGATTTATAATGTTTTATTTTTAAAGGAAAGACTACATAGATATTTAGGTTTTTTGTTTTCTGTGTTTTATTTTTTTTGTCATGCAAAGAATTCACTGTATCAAAGCTTCAACTAGGCTACCTTACAACTGTCAAAGAAGATAGTTACCTCTCACCCTTGTCCTAATATCTAGTTGCTCTATTCGTGACAGAAAAGAAAAATTAAATTTTTGATTTAAAAAATATTCTGGCTAATATACTGTTTAAGGTTAAAATTTGTGTTGATTCACTTTCTCCCCAAATTATAATTGCTATTAGTTGGCACTTTTCATATCTAGAAGTATCTCAAGGAAGAAAATTAACGTGTTAAGGTAGAATCATATCTTGTAGAAAATACTTTGTAAAGATTTATTTTTTATTTTTTTTGACTGTGGTGAGTCTGTTGCTGTGTGAGACCTTCTCGAGTTGCGGCAAGTGGGGGCTCCTCTTCATTGCAGCGTGCAGTTTTCCCGGTGAGGTGGCGTCTCTTGCGGAGCACAGGCTCTAGATGCTGCAGGCTTGGGTAGCTGCAGCGTGGGGCCTCGGGAGTTGTGGCACACAGGCTTAGCTGTTCTGTGGCATGTGGGGTCTTCTGGAGTCAGGGATCAAACTGGTGTCCCTTGCATTGCAGCATGGATTTTTAACCACGGGACCACCGGGGAAACCGCTCTTGTAGAAAGGATTTAACAGCAGCAGTAAGCCTGGGTTCTGATAGCTACTGGATGAATTAGGAATCCAAAGAAGATAAAATCAAGATACTAAGACATACTTCACTCTGTATAACAGGCTCTAGGTTCGTCTGTCTTAGTTCAACTGACTCAAATTTGTTCCTTTTTACAGCTGAGTAACTTTCCATCTTGGGCTTCACAGGTGACTCAGCAGTAAAGAATCTGCCTGCCACTGCAGGAGACACAGGAGTTGTAGGTTCGATCCCTGGGTCAGGAAGATCCCCTGGAGGGAAAATGGCAACCCACTCCAGTATTCTGACCTGGAAAATCTCATGGACAGAGAAGCCTGGCAGGCTATAGTCCATGGGGTCACAAAGACTGACCACTGAGTGGTCAAGCATGCAATATTCCATTGTACATATATGCCACAACTTCTTTATTCAATTATCTATCAATAGACATCTAGCTTGCTTCCATGTCCTGGCTATTATAGGTACTGCTGTGGTGAACACTTTGGGATACATGTGTCTTTTTGAATTTGGTTTCTCAGAATCTATGCCCAGTAGTGGGATTATTGGGTCATATGGCAGTTTTATTCCTAGTTTTTGAAGGAAATCTCCAAAGAGAAAAACAAATACCATATTAACACATACATATGGAATCTAGAAAAAATGGTACTGATGAACTTATATGCAGGGCAAGAATAGAGATGCAGATGTAGAGAACAGACTTGTGGACACAGTGGAAGAAGGAGAGAGTGAGATAAATAGAAAGTAGCGTTGAAATACATACATTACCATGTATAAAATAGCTAGTGGGAAGTTGCTATATAACCCCGGGAGCTCAGCCTGGTGCTCTGTGATGACCTAGAGGGGTGGGGTGGGGGTGGTGGTGGGTGGAAGGCTCAAGAGGGAAGGAATATATATATATATATATATATATACACACACACACACACACACAGACTTATGGCTGATTCATGTTGTTGTATGGCAAAAAGTAATACAACATTGTAAAGCAATTGTCCTCCAATTTAAAAAAAAAACAGATACTGAAACATGTTTTAGTCACTCACACTGTAAAATTTTGCCAGGTAATGGAGCTCTTTAAAGGCAAGAGTGTATTCTATGTTAACTGTATCTAATATTCAAACATCCCAGAAGATATCCCATGATATCATATACTTCTTGCTTTCTGGGAAGCTTTACCAGTTCAGCAGATTGGAAGCATTGTACAAAGTTCTTGTGCTTGCCAAGTTCTGTAGCTTTTAAATACATCTTTAGGGATGAAGACACTGCAGTAGCACCATTGCAGAGTCAATGAAACGGAGGAGAGCGCTCTTGCTATTGTCTTCTCACCTCATTAACAAAACAGCATCCCATAGTGTACAAAAAAAATCATAGAGATTGATACTGGAAAATTCAGAGCGCCATTTCTTTGCAGTCGGTAGTAATTTCCTGCTGAATGCAGATGGACTTATATGATTTGAAATACAGTTAATTCAAAACACCGTGTGTTTGTACTTTGGAATAGTTGGTCCCATTAGGTATGAACTCAGACATGTTTGTTTTCTTCAAAGTGAAACAAGAATTCTGATTACTTTTTAATAGGAAAAGAATGGAGTTGGCAAGACTGTACATAAAAACATCCTTTTATCCCTGTTACCTTAGTGATTAAGTGTTTAATGCAGAAACAGATGAAATTTTATTGAGTAGCAGATCCGGGATAGAGATGCTAGTTAGACAGCCTCCTAATTGCAGGGTATCCTTGGAAGAGAGAGCCCTCTCCCCCAGGAAATTGTTTAGTTAGCATTTAATAATGGTCATGGAATACCAGTATCTAAACGTTACTTAAAGATGTCCTCTTGAGTTTCAAATTAATAACAGCTTACATTTTGCTTAGGTTCTTGTTTGGTAAAATACTTTCATTTCCCTACAGATTTTTTGTGTGATCCTTGTAATGAGTCACTGTGAATTTGAATGTGACTTTTCGCTCAAAGTTGCAAGGAGGATGCCCCTTTCACTGATAATCAGTAGGGTTGTAAAACCCCCTGGAAACTGTGAAAGGGTTAAGTACTCTTCAGCTCTTCTTCATATTTATCCTGTGTGGACAAATATTTGAAGCTCAAAACCACCCATTCGTCCCAAACGTGTGGTGTGGCCTTCCTAACTGTAGTCTTCTAGTTGCTGTTGTGTCCGATTTTTTTTGCTACCTCATAGACTAGCCCATCAGGTTCTTCCACCCATGGGATTTCCCAGGCAAGAATATCAGAGTGGATTGCCATTTCATGCTCTAGGGGATCTTCCTGACCCAGGGATTGAACTCTAGTCTCCTGCATTGTCAGGTGGATTCTTTATCACTGAGCCACCAGGGAAGCCCTTCCCAAACTGATGCTGGCACTTGAAATTTCAAGTAAATTTTAATGTGGTGGGATCATAAGTTATTTAAGCTGCTGATAGATAGTAACTAAATAGCAATGGGCTGAGATTTATGAAAGTGGTATTCAATTTCCTGGGTTCAGTGCCACTCAGAGCTTGAATAAGCGATTTATATATTCTGTAAAAGGTCAATAACATAACTAGGTTATAGCTTATCTTCATACAGTTAAATGTGTGTGAAGATAAAATGGAAGAATTTGAGTTCTTGAAAGAAAGCTGATAGTCAAAATGGCATATTAGAAATTTCACAGTAACGAGAACCAGCTATGGAATTAACTAAAGCCCACAGATGTGTCTTGGAGGAGCTCATGGGAAAAGAGTCTCGTTAAAAAAGAAAATACTGCTTGGCTAGAGGAGACAATTAAAAGATGTCTTGATAATGTGATATGCTTGTGGCCATCTCTTAATGGATAGTTGAAAAAAAACATTTATATGAGCAGAGAAAACCTGATAAAAGGAAATTTGGCAAAAGAATGTATTTTTAAGGAAAAAATACTAGTTTACTGCTTACCAAGTGTTTTGCAACTACATTCTTATTAAAGCAGTATAACTTGGTTAAAAGTTGAAGATTATAAAATCTCCATTACCAAATGGTTTTAAATGACTTAGTACTTTTAGAGTGATCCCTCATTGTTCTGTTCTAATTCAAAGGTACATTGAGAATCTGTTATGATTCAAACACACACTGAGTTTGAGAATCTATGCAGGTCATTTCTTTTAAGATTCAGAAACGAATTTCTATTTTGTGCTTCATCTGTTACCAAAAATGAATATTGAATTAAAAATAAATCTTAATTTTAAGTGCCATGATGATTATTTAGAAGGTTTTTCAGTAATGTGCTGTTATTTATTTCTTACAGGCTTGTACGGCATATGTGGATTTTATGATTTCTGTGGCCAAATTGATTCGTCAGGAAAGAGGACTGCCTATAGATGAAAACCAGCTTTCTTTGGAAATGAATAAAGTTATGGATTTGGAAAAAGAAATTGCCAATGTAAAACACATATTCTCTGATACAATGAATAATGTCAACTGCTTTTTATTTCTCTCTCCTCTCTATCGTATTTTAAGGGTAAAAGGTACAACTCCTCACCAAGTGATAAAAATGTACAGCTCAGTAATGGATCATTGACTTCAAGAGGACCTTTGAAACTGGAGTTTTTCAGTAAACCAAGTTCCAGACATCCAGGAGACATACTAATTTTGACAAATATTAAACTAGATTTGTTTAATGACCTATTATAACTGGAGCACGTCAAGATCTTAACTGTTTACAGTCACACTGTTTTTGAGATGCCCTTGAGATTCAGGACACATGTGATGACTATTCAGCAAAGCTGTTTTAATTTTAATGTACACAATTTTGCTTTATTTTAAAGTTTTAAAATTTAAGGTGACCACGGAAATTGTCTCTATCCCTTTGCTAAGAAGTATTAGCCTCTTAACATGGCCACACTGCAGTATGAAATTCACTGAGTTCAGACTGTTAGGCTGCTTATTAGCTCAGGGGAGATCTGACAGGAGTTTATCAGCAAAGCCGAAGGGGTCTGTTGCTGAGATTCCTCTGGTTCTGGGTCAGCCCTTAGAGGCTGAGCTGGCACATTCTGTTCTGACGTTCCTCTGATAGGATCTGCAGTCTCAAGCAAGTGAACTCTGTCTAAACAGCATCCAGGTTATTGACTGATCTCATAGTTGGTTTCCATCTAGGATCCACAGAGCTGTGACATTGCCACCAGCAACCTACAATCCTAAATCCCTATCTGCTTGACAGCTTGCCATCAGAATCTTGAAAACGAAAGATCTTGGAGGGCAACTTTAGCTTTCCTGGGGCCACATGAAACTAAAAGTCTAGAATCAGAACCAGACATTGGTTGGAGCTGCAGCGGGTGAATGGCAGTTTGATGGGTTACATGTGGTTCTGTGTTGGAAACAGAATTCTTAGAGAAGCATAGTTTATTACCTGGGGTTTTTACCACTTATAGCTTATCAGACTGTGTGCTCGCTCCTTTGATCAGCCTCAGCTCTGTAATAGTCGTATCTTACTTCAAAAGTCTTCGTGTCTATATTTTCTCTCCTCTCAGACACTGAGATTTAGTGGGGTCTTAGTGCTCTCTGAATCACCTGTGTGTCTCACAATGTCCAGCATACCATTGCAGGCAGATGTTACAAACATAATCTTTAAATCGTTGTTGCTCAGTTACTCAGTCTTTGTGACCCAGAGGACTGCAGCATACCAGGCTTCTTCTCTATCATTCACCATCTCCAGGAGCTTGCTCAAACTCATGTCCATAGAGTCGGTGATGCCATCCAACCATCTGATCCTCTGTCACCCGCTTCTCCTCCTGCCCTCAGTCTTTCCCGACACCAGGGGCTTTCCCAATGAGTCAGCCCTTCACATCAGGTGGCCGAAGTAGTGGAGTTTCAGCTTTAGCATCAGTTCTTCCACTGAAGGTTCAGGGTTGATTCCTTTAGGATTGACTGGTTTGATCTCCTTGCTGTCAAAGGAGCTCTCAAGAGTCTTCTCCAGCACCGTAGTTTGAAAGCATCAATTCTTTGGCACTCAGCCCTCCTTATGGTCCAACTCTTACATCCGTACATGATTCCTGGAAAAACCATAGCTGTGACTATATGGACCTTTGTCGGCAAAGTGATGTCTCTGCTTTTTAATACATACACTTTCTAGGCTTGTCATAGCTTTTCTTCCAAGGAGGAAGCGTCTTTTAATTTCATGGCTGCAGTCACAATCCGCAGTGATTTTGGAGCCCCAGAAAATAAAGTGTGTCACTGTTTCCATTGTTTCCCCTTCTATTTGCCATGAAGTGATGGGACTGGATGCCATTTTTTTTGAATGTTGAGTTTTAAGCCAGCTATTTTGCTCTCTTTCACCTTCATCAAGGTGCTCTTAAGTTCCTCTTTACTTTCTGCCATTAGTGTAGTGTCATCTGCTATCTTAGGTTGTTGATATTTCTCCCGGCAATCTTGATTCCAGCTTGAGCTTCATCCAGCCTGGCATTTTGTATGACATACTCAGCATAGAAGTTAAGTAGGCAGGGTAACAATATACAGCCTCAACATAATCCTTTCCCAATTTTGAACCGGTTGATGTTCCATATCCAGTTCTAACTGTTGCTTCTTGACCTACATACAAGCTTCTCAGGAGGCAGGCAAGGTGGTCTGGTAGTCCCATCTCTCAAATTTTCCACAGTTTGTCGTGATTCATACAGTAAAAGGCTTTAGCGTAATCAATGAAGCAGAAGTAGACTTTTTTTCTGGAATTCTCTTTCTTTTTCTATGGTCCAGCAGATGTTGGCAATTTGATCTCTGATTCCTCTACCTTTTCTAAATCCAGCTTGTATATTTGGAAGTTCTCAGTTCACGTTTTGTTGAAGACTAGCTTGAAGGATTTTGAGCATCACCTTGCTAGCAAGTAAAATGAGAGCAATTGTGAGGGTTTGAACATTCTTTGGCATTGCCCTTCTTTGGAATTAGAATGAAAACTGACCTTTTCCAGTCCTGTGGCTGCTGCTGAGTTTTCCAAATTTGCTGGCATCTTGAGCACAGCACTTTAATAGCATCATTTTTAGGATTTGAAATAGTTCAGCTGGGATTCCATCACCTCCACTAGCTTTGTTCATAGCAATGCTTCCTAAGGCCCACTTGACTTCACACTCCAAGATGTCTGGCTCTAAGTGAGTGACCATACCATCGTGGTTACCTGTGTCATTAAGACTTTTTGGTACAGCTCTTCTGTGTATTCTTGCCATCTCTCCTTAACATCTTCTGCTTCTGTTAGGTCCATACTGTTTCTGTCCTTATTGTGCCCATCTTTGTATGAAATGTTCCCTTGATATCTCTAATTTTCTTGAAAAGATCTCTAGACTTTCCCATTCTATTGTTTTCCTCTATTTCTTTGCTTTGTTCACTTAGGAAGGCTTTCTTATCTCTCCTTGTTATTCTTTGGAACTCTGCATTCAAATGGGTATATCTTTCCTTTTCTCCTCTGCCTTTCACTTCTCTTCTTTTCTCAGCTCTTTGTAAGGCCTCCTCAGACAACCATTTTGCCTTTTTGCATTCTTCTTGAAGTAAATAAATAAATCAGTAAACTGAAGTCACGAGTCATTGTTAACTAGAGAAATAATTCCCATTTTTACCTTTTGTGTCTCTTCACTTAAAATTGCTTCTACTCCTTTCAACCACTAGTCGGGGAGTTGTTATTGAAATTTTCTTTTTTCAGTCAGTGAAAACAGTAATACTGGAAGCTGATGATAGCACTAAACTCGTTAGGCCCCATGAGTGGACAGTCACAGAAGTAAGTGCTAGCGCTCTCCTCAGATCATTTGGCACCTACCTGCACTGTGTACTAGGGATTTTCTTGGTTTCACTTGCCTCCAGTTCTTGGCAGAAATCATTGTGTGTGTATGTGTGTTTTCCGGTCTGAATTTTAACTAGGACACTGAATGGTGGCGGGTAGCAGGCAGAGTGGGAGAAGGCAATGGCAGCCCACTCCAGTGTCCTTCCTGGAGAGTCCCAGGGCCGGAAGCGCCCGGTGGGCTGCCGTCTATGGGGTCGCACAGAGTCGGACACGACGGAAGCAACTTGGCAGCGGCAGCAGCAAGACAGTGTATTTAAGGGATTAATTGGAAATGACTTTATCCAAGAAATTCATTATATGAAATAGCCACAGGCACAACTGAGCTGCCCATTAGCCATGGAAGGAAGGAGGGCTGTAAATGTTGCCGATGTGGTTTGTTGTTATAAAAATATAAAAAGATTTTTGAAGACCCCATGGACTGTAACCTGCCAGGCTCCTGTGTCCATGGGATTTCCTAGCCAAGAATACTGGAGTGGGTAGCTGTTGCCTTCTCCAGGGGAATCTTCCTAACCCAGGGATCAAACCCAGGTCTCTTGCATTGCAGGCAATCTCCTGCACTGCATGCAGATTCTTTAATGATTGACCCACCAAAGAAGCCCTCATACTTAACACTAACCAAGTCTTGATGATTGTTACTAAATATACTTAAAATCTCTTATATTTCTCTTTTCTTCTTGATGTGACAAGATAAATTATGAAAAAAATACAGAATAGAATTTAAATGTAATTATGTTGTACCAATGCCATATTTCTTTCCCCCTTGTATATAGTTATATTTTTCAAAAGAATTCTTGGTCTAAAATAATAATAAAACATTAAATCCATAGGCTACAACTAAATCTGAAGATCGAAATGATCCAATGCTTCTTTATAACAAAATGACATTAGCTGAGATCCAAAATAAATTTTCGCTGGAATTCAATGGGAAGGTAAGTAACAAGATTTAAGTACTTATTATGTCATTTTCAAAGTTAATATTAAAATGCAGTTAAAATTCAATGATTTTTTAAATTTATTGAGATAAATTGAACATCAAAATGAATTTAGATGATACCAACCATTTGACTTTATGAAAAGACTTGAAAAAAACTATTCTAAATCATTGTATTTATATTTAATTAGAGTGAATTTCAAAGATAAAAAGCCCTTTCAAAGCAGCTATGGAATAGTATTAGAAGGTATCATAAAAAAGGGTTTGGACACATTAAAAGTGAAAATCCTTCTGAAAGGTCATTATATAACTGTGGGACTTGGACAGTCATATAATATGTACCAGACTTCTTACCTCCAAAAAAAGAGTAATTTTTTCATAGAACTTGCCATGTTCTCATTAGGGCCATCTATGGAGGTGTTCAAACCAATAATGGAGAAATAGAACACAAGAAGCAGAAAAATCTATAGGTATCATTTATAAACATCAACTGACATCTTTTTGCTTAGTTGTAATTCCTTAGCTAGTATCTAATAATCTCTTCTAAGATATGCGTATATTCTGTGTGTGAGCTGATGCACACAATTGGATAATGAAGCAACATTCATGAAATCTACAAACTACCACATTCAGTGATGGAATTCTATTTGGAATCGGAATAAACAATTGCAGTTGTTGTTTTGTTTATTGTCTGATTGCAATAAATAAGGAATTTCTTACATAAAGCTTTTTAATATAAGTGTTTAATAAGTGGTTTGAAAAAATAGTCCAAGCCACTAAAGGAAATCTAGAAAAGCCATAGCACCTCATACTGAGTAAGTGATCAGTGTATTTATGTACTTCTAGGTAGCCTAAAATATCAGTAATCTTAACTGAAATGTGGCATTTCAGAAACATTTGCATAGTCTTCCCTTTTGCTATCTTTCCTCATATCCATTGGTGGTTGAATAACCACAATTCCCACTTAAAGAATAATAGAGAAACAAGATTCTTTCTTTCATTAACTCCAAATCCAGCTTCTGAAGTGTGAAAACTGCATGTCTATATAGACCTGACATTGATAGCATAAAATGCGTTTTGTTCATCTTCACGAGACCATGTATGTTGTATCATTACTGTTACTTATACCTCTGCTAGAACAACAGTTTGCTTTCACTTTCATGTACAACACAGTCTCCACTGAAGTGTATTACTGTATTCAAACAAATTGTTTACTAATATATACTTTTAAGAAATATGCATATTATATGCGTTTAAATTTTGGCTTAAACCTAGAAAACATTATAACTAAATTTCTTTTTCTCTCATATGGGCAAGACCAAGAATATGACATTGAGCCTGATATCTTCCATATGACTACTACTCTTAGAGGCTTTGTTCTTGCTCTTAAATGGTTGGTTTAATTCTGCATTTAAATAATTATGTATGCTGCAGAACTAATTTTTATTCAAAAACTGACAGAAGCAATTAAAGAAGAAGCCCAAACAAATATCACAATGACCATTGTGATAATTATATAGTGATACAATTGACACTGTAACCATGTCTGACCCTGTAACCATAACTGATTCTTGGAACCAAGAAGAAAAGTCCATAATTACTGAATGTTTTGTACCTGATTTTTTCCAGCCATTCAGCTGGTCAAATTTCACAAATGAAATCATGTCAACTGTGAATATTAATATTCCACATGAGGAAGAAGTGATTGTTTATGCTCCAGAGTATTTAACCAATCTTAAGCTCATTCTTGCCAAATATTCTGCCAGGTAGGTATGTCAGCGTGCCCATGTCCCCAAAGTTTGCATTTAATATCATTCTTTAGAAGCTTTGCAGCCTCATCTTTTCTGTTGCTGGGTGGTGGGTTTTTTTATACAGAGATCTTCAAAATTTAATGTCCTGGCGGTTCATAATGGATCTTGTAAGCAGCCTCAGCCGAAACTACAAGGAGTCCAGAAATGCTTTCCGCAAGGTGAAGAAAAAATCTCTCTTTTCTTAAGACTTAAAGCATAAAGAGATCCATGATTATGAAGGCTTGCCATGCCCATTGCTAGAATGTGGTAAACTTTGCGAAGAGACAGAAGGCCAAATGTTGGTTACTTTGCCTGTATTCAAGCCATGTTGCCTAGGAAAGCCAGTTTTCAGGTGCTCTATTTTCCTTTGTCTACTTTGGCGCCATAATTGAATTGCCCTGGAAGGAAGGGCATTTGGTTATTTGCACAGTTCATGAAAGAGTACTGGCTTGGTTTGGTGTTGTGTTCCAAGTAATTTCAGGGCTATCTATCTCAATTAATTTGATTTTTCTAGTACTCACAGCACAATAGACATACAAACAGATGACTACATTGTGTGGACTTCCCACTGAGAATACACCTCCCTGGAGATACCCTTAAGACCTTTTATTAGGCTGTACCCATATCATTTACACAATCATCATTTTGGTCCTAATGTGAGGGGAGAAAGAAAGTCCTTATGTGAAAAAGGAGAAATTCTCACAAATGGATTGGTTGGTGTCATGGGAAGGGAATAATTCTGACCGATTGGAATTTTTAATTTTTTACCCTTTAAAAGAAAATGTAGACATCTTTTAAAAATGAAAGAAGATAAGAGCTGTGTTTTGTTAAATTTTCCTTCCATAAATGTATCCCTTTATTGGTACTTAAATGTGTACACATGCAGTTCTTCTAAGTACTGGAAATTCAACAAAAGCGTTGAAAAACAGCAGTGTGTTTTCTTGTATACCAGGTCTCTCCCCTGTTACATATATTGAATATTGCTTCATGTTTATGTTTATGCAGTGGCAACAGCGTTATTTTGAGATTATTTCCTAAAGTGGTCCAGGGCAGAGCTTTTCTCCTAAAGTGGTCCAGAAGGATATTAACTTGCAATAGCCAACAGTTCTTCTAGGACTTGCTACTGAAAATATACCTTATTTCCAGATCATATATAAGTAATAATTCTATTGGATTACATTTTTTCCTATGCAAGGACATCCTGACGTGTGAGGAGAAGCAATGAATATTCAAAGAATCTGAGACCCAAGAGTAGAGTCCTGTGAAATTTGTGCTCTCGCAGCGCTTCGGCTGTCTATGCCTGCTCAAATGCCATTTCCTTTCTCTCCCATAGGCTCTTTATGGCACAACATCAGAAACAGCAACTTGGAGACGCTGTGCAAACTATGTCAATGGGAATATGGAAAATGCCGTGGGAAGGCTCTATGTGGAAGCAGCATTTCCTGGAGATAGTAAACATGTGGTAATGTTTTCAGCACAGTACTCTATCAGTTTGCAGTCACAATAGTCCATCATTTTGCTAAAATTTTACTGATTGGCTGAGAACTTCTGAATTACCATTTGCCATTATTTCCCAATAAATCTTACCCTCCCTCCCCCAAGGGTCTGCATATTTTTCTAATCCTAATATTGTTTAACCCAAAAGCAATTGTCCATTTTCCAGGAGCAGTATATTCACATTACCTAGTCACATGTTCTTATAATATAGTCATTTGTAGTCTCTTCTATTAGCAAAATTGACTAAGAATTAGTATTTTTTCTTAAAAACCAGAAAGTAAATCAGAGGTCATTTGAAATATAAGCCAATACTATATTTTTTATTGTTACTGAAGTAAAGACAAAGGAACTTAAAGGCAAGGTGAAAGGATTTATTGAAATGCTACTTCATGCTTAACTAAACTATTAATAGTAATGACAGCTAGTATTTTATGTTAGTTCTTCTTTTTGATAATGGAGACCATACATTCTAAAGTAATGTATACATTAAGATCTATTCAATCATTAGTGTTAATGGAAGTGCTGCTTTAAAAATATAATTATCCATATATATCAATTTGTTTAGATCATTTATAAATTTATGTATATTAACATATTATTGAATCACATCAACACAGCTTATAATTCTATTTTTCTTAATTTTTATTACAAAAAATTATCTCATGGCTCATATTTGCTTTCTGCTCTTTTGGTTTAAGGTTGAGGATTTAATTGCCCAGATCCGGGAGGTTTTTGTTCAGACTTTAGATGACCTAACTTGGATGGATGCTGAAACAAAAAAGAAAGCTGAGGAAAAGGTAAAGAGCAAGGTAGAGCTAACTACCAAAGAAAAATCTATAAAAAAGATGAATTTTTAAGATATTTGGGGAAAATATGGTAATCAAGAATTGTATAAAATAAAAACACACCCTTTCAAGATGTAACGTTTCCAGGGACAATTTTCCTTTTTTTTTTATTTATTTTTATTAGTTGGAAGCTAATTACTTTACAATATTGTAGTGGTTTTTGCCATACATTGACATGAATCAGCCATGGATTTACATGTGTTCCCCATCCTGAACAGTTTTTCACGGATGAAGTTTTTTTCCTATGATTTTCATCTTTCATTATTTCTTTGCAACTAGCTTCTATTCTCCATGTTCAGCTCAAAACTTTGAAAGAAAAAACTCCTTTTCTTTAAAAAAGAAGTCTTCACAAATCAAGAAAATAAGAGAAATATCTTGTATGAATAAGGAAGCATTAAAAGATATTATCAGTGGTTCATATTTTTCCTCCTTTTATGAAACATATTTAAAAGATTTCTACCAATATTCAATAATCTTTAATGCAAATTTTTAGCTAAAAATTTGTAAACGTGCTATTTAGTATTTTTTTTAATATAACCTAGGGAAAATAATACCAAATTTCTATTAAGCCAATGCAAGGTCAGTGCATTATTTGACTACTATAGAGGTCCTACAGTTACAGAGATGTTGACGGAACTCTTTATAAACTATTCTTATTTACCCCCACTATTCACCTTTTATTGAGATTTTTAACATCTTGCATAGAATAAGCAAAATAGAAATTCTAAGGAAATCCCAGGTTTAAATTTACTATGCCATTGTCTTGATAATATATAAAACTAGAAGGGACATGTCCAGTGAAAACTGTATATGCTTTATAAGCAGTATTCACATGCAACCTGATTATTCCTCTGTAGTTAGAGTAGCAGGAAGAACATACCATTCTCTGAACTTAACACAGAGTCCATAAATCTATTTATAATAAGAGAATCCAACTGAAGTCTAGTTTTCTTTCAGGATTAGATCACATAGAAGGGGCATCTTCAGTGACCACAGAACCCTGGATGACTCAGATCTAGAATTTGGCACCCCAGTGTAGCTGTCTTTGCAGCACTCTGTCTAGCTCCTCAGAAGTTCAGGCTGGATTTGCTCCTTTCATGTTCTAGCTGTCATAACATGGTTCTTTTTGATGTAACCATTAAATTGTTCTAGATTTAATTATTTCCCAAAGTGATATAAGACTCTGGATCTACACGTTGCTTTGTGAAAGAGTCCCATACCCAAAAAGTTTAGGCAACACTTCCTGAAGGAAGGCTTCCCTGATCCTACCCTCGATTAGGTTACATGCCTCTAGGGTATGAGTTTATGGCATCATACATCACACTTGAGAGTTAATATTCATTTTATTGCCTACCATTGACCTTTACAATAGACTTTCCATGAGCAGAAATTTTTGCATTGTATCCTCAACCCCATACAAAGTACCTGGTTTATGGTAGACTCTAGAACACAAATTGAATGAATAAATAGGCAAAATAATTCATTCTCTTGGATACTTGCGATTACTTAATTGTAGACTCTAAGACGTCCTTCAGTGAAAGAGCCTGCTTCGTGTTTCTGTCATAATGGCGTGCATGCTCAGCCTCTCAGAGTTGTCCAACTCTTTTGGACCCCATGGACTGTAGCCTGCCAGGCTCCTCTGTCCATGGGATTTTCCAGGCAAGAATACTGGAGTGGGTTGCCATTTCCTTCTCCAGAGGATCTTTCCAACCCAAGGACTGAACCCATGTCTCCTGAGTCTTCTGCATCAGTAGGTGGATTCTTTACCTACTGAACCACCTGGGAAGCAGTCACAGTATTTACCCCAAATATTTTTACAGTATATCCTTTCTTCTGTGGTACCTCCCATTTCTGTAGATTTTGTATCCCTTAGAATACCTTTTGGGGAAACATCTTCTAGAAAATAAAACACCACTGAGAGGGGAGTGATTTATTATGGGCTGACAGTATAGAAAGAAAATAGGCTGGGCCTATTAGATTAGCTGACACATCTGTCTGAGCCACTGGAGAAATCCTAGACTCATGAAACAGATCTGTAAAAAAAACCACATCCATTTGATGGCAAAACAAATAACTCAGAGATGCAAGCTTAATACCTCATGAAAAATTTAAATTAATTAAATTATTTAAGAGCAATGTGGTATGATTGAATCAGATATCTTTGAGAAAAATGAGAGAAGTGAAAAATAGAAATAGCAAGTAGTAAGCAAGTGGGCTTCCCAGGTGGTGCTAGTGGTAAAGAGCTTGCCTGCTGGTGCAGGAGACATAAGAGACACAGGTTCGATCCCTGGGTTGGAAAGATCCCCTGGAGGAGGGCTTGGCAACCCACTCCAATATTCTTGCCTAGAGAATCCCATGGACAGAGGAGCCTGGAAGGCTACAGTCCATAGGGTCACAAAGAGTCAGACACGACTGAAGCAACTTGGCAATCACATACACAAACAGTAGTAAGCAAGTGGTAAATATGAGATGGTGTAACAAGGGAAAGCCTGTTTTCTACTCATTTAACTAATATCATTCATTTAACTGTGGAAAGTTGGGTACACTAGCTCTGGAGACCGAAACAGAACATAAAAACTCCAGGAACCAATATACAAGAAGAATATTTAGCACTGAACCTGTAAGCCCACATCTGTTTTCTGAGCCAAACTGGTGAAGTGGAAAGATAAGCTACTAGAACAAAAGTTCTAAGTGTTATTTCTCCTATAAGATTGAAGAAAAAAGCCTTGCAGGGAAAAAGTTCATAAGAATAATACCTGTGTTAGTAATACCTTTGTTCCAATACCTGTGGACAAAGACTTGTCAGTCTGTCATGTTAATTTTCTTAGGCAAGCTTCAGACTGTGAGAATAGGGTATTAGAAGCTAAATTTCAGGACTCTTTTTTTATGTTGAATTCCAGGAAGAAGCCATGGCAAAGATCTCTGTTTAAGTGTGGTCAAATACTCATTTTGTAAACAGTATGGATCAAGTTATTCAATTTCCAGTCAAGGGCACAATCGTAATGTTTGCATCTGAAAGTTCATAATCATGCTCACATTCGATATTATAATTTTCATAGGCCTTAGCAATTAAAGAAAGGATTGGCTATCCTGATGACATTATTTCAAATGACGACAAACTGAATAATGAGTACCTTGAGGTAAGTCTTGAAAAGACTCGATACTGATGGTGCCTGAGGTTGGGGGCAATGTCGTTTCTTGCTATGGGGGGGGGGGCCAGAACATATGTGGGCCTACACCCAGAGCCCTTATTATATTAAGCCTTTAACACTGAAGCCAGAACTATGTTTGTTTTAGTGTTAGCCTGTTGTTTCATTGGCCTGGTCTGTGTTTGGTTTTTTTATTTCGCTTTCCATATAGTCCATTTTAAGAGTAGTGATTAAAAACTTAGTGGTTTTTTTTTAAGAGCATCAAGGCATAGATATAAGTGATGAACAGGCTGTACTCAGGCTTTTTATACATGCCTGAAAAGTCAAATCTTCAGGTTTCCTTCCAATTTCTAATTATTCCTCCACTGGATTAACCTGGTCATGTCTTCTCTGGAAAAAAAGCATCTATTATTTGAGAATGAGAAACTGTTTTATTCCTCTTGTGTAATGTAAATGATGAAGGCAGAATTGATTGAAGTATGGATTTCAGAGCCCGCTGAGAGCTTATTGCTAACCTTGCAGTCTCCACGACTACTTGCCGTCTTGGTGACAAGGTGGCCCTTGCCTAGATCCGGGGATGATGATTTCTAATCTGTTGATTACTAGCCTAACTTGAGAGTTTGCAAGGCACATTGTCCTCGTTTCTTTTTCCATTGCAGAAAAGCTTGACTTTTTAAGAAATGAGCTCACTGTAGCTTGCGAGTCCTTGGGGCCCTTGTGGCAGGAGTCTAGTGGCTGAGCACACAGCCTCACAGCTGACCTGCATGGGTTCAGATCTCAGCCATACCACACACTAACTGGCTAAGAGCATCAACTCAAAGTCAGACTGCTAGGGTTCAAATCTCAACTTCATCACGGATTAACTTGGACAACTGACTTGTCTGTGCCTCAGTTTCCTCAACTTTAAAATGGTGATAACAGCCCATCTTCATAAAATTATTTTGATGATTATAAGAATAAGTGTTCTTATAACACAGTAAATAAGAATTCTGTTATCTGTCATGTAAGGATTGATATCAACATAGAAAAGCTTGTTTGACACTTAGTTTCACTTGATTAATTAGAAAAGAATACACTGAAGGGATGATTCAGCCAGAGCAGCAGTGACTTGTATGGAATTAATTAGAACTTAATTTTTCTTTGGCAAATTTTAATGCTTTCTGCTAAATTTATTAAGTGATAATCTCTTAATGCTATTTAGCAAAACTTTGGAGACATGTTTTCAGTATTGCTCTCAAAATTCTTTTAAATTAATACAGTTGAGCTACCAGGAAGAAGAATACTTTGAGAACATACTTCAAAACCTGAAGTTTGGCCAAAATAGACAACTAAAGAAGCTTCGAGAAAAGGTGGACAAGGATGAGTATGTATATTTCAATTTTCTAATATGTTCATTCAGAAGAGGGCCTTTGCTGGATTAAGAACCTGACCTAGAATAATGGTAAAAGGTGGAATGTTCTCCCTCTGTTGAGTACTTCTAAGAGCATCTAAGAATATAGGAGGATGTAACCAAAATACAAATTTTTCCCTTAAGGTGTCAGACTACATTTGATTTCTTCTCATGTTATTGTCTGTCCCTTCTACTTTGTTTGTGGACAGAGCTCCCTAGAACACTTTAGTCTAAGCGGTCCTTAGCTCCTTCAAACCTTTGAGTCTATTACTATACTCAGAATTATCATCTACCCTCAGTCCCACCTACCTTTCTATTGTTCAGCCATCCTGCAACTCCGTCCCCTACCTAACTTGTCCAGGTAACACTTCTCTCAACCTTGTGAAAACCAAATCTGCGATATCAGGATTCAGTCGCATTCATAGCTTTCAAATGATCTTAACCTCTGCTTACTAGTGGTATTAGTACATCATAGTAATGATCAGCTTAATGTTTATTTTTCGGTTAAATGGATGTGTTTAAAAATATTTATCAACATAAGTGTTTATGCACTTAAATCCCTAGAACCATCTGTGTGGATTTTTTCCTACACAGCTCCAAGAGAATAGGAGATTGTTCAGCACTGGATCGTTCAGTACTGGATACATAGGGTTTTCAGTCAAAACTAAATTAATGAGTGAGCAAGTGCAAAGTAAATATACTAACTTGATCTTTGTGGTAACTGACACAATACCATGCTAGTGAAGTGTATGGTTCACTCCTGCATTCCTTTATTCTTTCACTAATATTTATTAAGCGAATATTTTGGAATACGGGCCAAGTCAAGGTGGGAACTGGAAAAATCAAAGGTGAACTTTGATTCAATTCCATTACATTACAATAGTAGAGTGTAGGAAAGATGTATTATAATAAACTACCTCCCGGAGGGAAATGTGCCAAGAAAGGGACAAAGGGCAGAAGGACTGTTTGACGACAGAGTGTTCTATTCTCAGTAAACCAGGTACTAGTTGGACAAAATTCCCAGTATGAAAATGCCAATACATTCAATCCCTGTACAACATTTTGGACCCTTCAGGTATTCTGAAAAAGAGACCAATTTCTTTTACTGACCTCTCTGTTTACACTGGAGCAAATGTTATGTTATCTGGTACTTAAAACAGGGCAGCAAATGTCAGAGAATGTTTAGTGTCCCAGGTGGGAAAGAAAGAGATTAGGTACATATGGCTTCTATCATACTCAGTTGTCAAATCCTAGCTCTAGAAATTGACAGAAAGTCATCAAAAAGAATACCTTGTGGAAAAATTTATAATCTGAGAATCTCCTTATAAGTCTGAATGTTTTTATTTCTTTGCAAAATATAGTTACATACTATATAGTTACATATAATAATTGTTAGCACTTTGTAAAATACCTATATACAATTATCATCAAATATTCTTTCTGATGGAGAAAGCAATGGCACCCCACTCCAGTACTCTTGCCTGGAAAATCCCATGGACGGAGGAGCCTGGTGGGCTGCAGTCCATCAGGTCGCCACGAGTTGGACACGACTGAGCGATTTCACTTTCACACATTGGAGAAGGAAATGGCAATCCAGTCCAGTGTTCTTGCCTTGGACACGACTGAAGTGACTTAGCAGCAGCAGCATTCTTTCTGAAGAGAGCTAACATAAGCTGCATCCACCTGACATCAGAATATTTCTTCATAATTTTAAAAATCGTTGTTGAATTATTGCTTGATGTTTTCTTTGGAAGTTAATATAGTCCCAGTTCCATGATAATTTTGTAGTGTAGTGTGCAATTTTCACTCCTTTTCATCATATGTGTTGATCTTCTCTGAGTTCTTTTCTCTTTACCACAGATAATCAATAGCAAAGACTGTTTCTAAGATTTAATGAATGTTTTCTCAATAGCATGCACAGCTCAGTAGTACTTTCTGGATCCTTTCCATGAGCCTCTGACAATCAGTCACAAGTGCAATATGCCTTTTAAGGTCTTCACTGCCATAAGAGGCTAGTTTTTCTTCCTTCCTCATCTTCTACCTGTATGCTGAGTACAGGGTTCAACACTCTTGATTGCACTTTAGATTCACCTGGGGAGCATTTTAAGTACTGCACCCCCTTCTCAAGTCAGAATCTTTGCATTAATGTTAATTCCTTTTTATATTGAATCATACTTGCTCATATTCAATATTGTGAAATATTTTTACAAGATGATACCTTTAATTTAGGAATTTTGATTTTTTTAAAAAAAAATTTAAATTTATATTGGACTATACATGATTTGCAATGTGATGTTAGTTTCAGGTGTATAGCAGAGTGATTCAGTTATACATATATCTATTCTTTTTCAAATTCTTTTCCCATTTAGGTTATTGCCAAATAGTGAATAAAGTTCCCTGCACTATACTCTAGGCCTTTGTTGGTTATCTACCTTAAACATGCTGCTGCTGCTAAGTCGAGTCAGTCGTGTCCAACTCTGTGCGACCCCATAGATGGCAGCCCACCAGGCTCCCGTCCCTGAGATTCTCCAGGCAAGAATACTGGAGTGGGCTGCCATTTCCTTCTCCAATGCATAAAAGTGAAAAGTGAAAGTGAAGTCGCTCAGTCATGTCCGACTCTTCGCGACCCTATGGACTGCAGCCTACCAGGCTCCTCCACCCATGGGATTTTCCAGGCAAGAGTACTGGAGTGGGTTGCCATTGCTTTCTCCTATCTACCTTAAATATAGCAGTATGTATATGTCAATCCTAAACTCCCAGTTTATCCCCCTCCCCCTTTCCCTTTTGGTAACTATAAGTTTGCTTTCCTTTTTTTTTTTCTTTTAACATATTTATTTATTTATTTGGCTGCACTGGGTCTTGGCCATGGCATGTGAGATCTAGTTCCCTGATCAGGGTTGGAACCCAGGCCCCCTGCATTGGGACCACAGTGTGTTAGAAACTAGACTGCCAGGGAAGTCCCGATACGAGTTTGTTTTCTATCCCTGGGTCAGAAAGATTCCCATGGAGAAGGGCATGGCAACCCACTCCAGTATTCTTGCCTGGAGAATCCCATGGACAGAGGAGCCTGGCGGGCTACAGTCCGTGGGTCACAAAGAGTCGGACACGACTGAACACCTAACACTCGCACACACACGGGTTCATCATTCCAGAGCAATTCTTTTCTATCGTCTCTGGCAGTTGCGGTGATGTTTACTACAAATCCTATCTTAAAAATGCTTATATCCACCAGCTGCTAATTAACTCTTTTATTGGCATGAGGGGATGTGGATCCATCTTACATCTCCATTGTCATGGCTTATTCATACATTTCTCATTGTTCACCAGAGTGATTACAATATTTGTCCTAATCTTATCAATCATCTCACAGTCAATCTTGAGCTAATTCTCCAGGCAACCACCTTAGAGAGCTTTTAAAAACACAGATTGAGTCATGTTGTTTTCTGATGAAGACCTTTCAATGTGTTTTGCCTATCTCATGAAGCTTGTACAAAGCTCTGCAATCTCCCGCTCCACACTCCAGATTCCCTTGAGTCACCCTACCCCACAGCATTGTCCCAGATCTCCAGCCACAGGAATTAAAAAATTGAAATCGCTACTCCATCTCTTCCTCCTCCTTATCCCTTACCTTGGACCACTGTTCCTACTCTTGTTCATTTAACAGAAACCTTCACTTAGTATGATTCTTCTTGAGTCTTACCTCCTTACTCATGCATCCCTTACATTTTTCTCTTCACCTTGTCCTTGTGTGACACCTTACACATATTTTACTCACAGCGCCAATATATTATGTTATATTTAGCTGGAATAGCCCTTGTTGAAAGAAAGCAAAAGTCATGTATTTGTATCACCAGAGATTGAACTTTGATGAATAGAATGTGGACCTTCCTTCAATGATGATAGAGTGAATGATTGATAAAATAGTCAATTTGTAACAGTGCTGATAAAGTGAACTCAGCCACTAAAATAAGTACTGATATATCCAAGCATTTCACCGTCATTGTTGGTGAATATGTCCAACATGATCTCTGTTTTCTCTGCTTAAGAATTCAAAAAATTGAGAACGTCAGGAAGTCTGAGTGTGATATGCCTAAGTTAATCATTTGGCTCAAAGGACCTCCTTCTGCCCAATCAGGCAGCTGGCAACTGCAAAGGACAAAGATTTAAATTTAAAAGGCTGTTGGTTCATGTGGTTTCTGAGTACTTAGCTGATGTTTCCAAAATTACCTCAAACATCTTGTTCTCTGGGGACTTAATGACAGTTTGTAAATAACTTCAAGCACATCATGTTATCAAATAGTAATAATGTTAGATTGAAAATGTAATATCCATTGGCAAAATTACTTGGCAAAGTATCTGAAATAATTTACTTTCAATAACATGATTATTCCCTTAGAGTCTATGGAACAAACATAAACCTCTAAAAAGAAACAATATACTAGGACAAAATAAAGTGAATTCCTTTTCTTAATTTTATACTTGACATTATTTTGTTAGTTTCTTAAGACAGAATTTTCTGTAATATAATTTGGACAGGTAGTGCCAGCCTTGGTAAATTATGACTGTTGAGCATGTGGAGTTGCATTTCATAAACTACAATGACTTATTTCGTTGCTGCATTTTCCTTGCCGTTATACATCAAAATAAAAACAAGCTGACAGTAATAGCAGCCAACTCAATAAACATTTTGCCAAATAGCTACAGTGTGCAAAGTACTGTGCTACGTTGCAGAGGATAAAGAGATGAGTAAGACTCAGAGCTAGTAATCTAGTGGAAGAGGAAAGGTATGTAACAATGACAGCAGATAAAAGGCGGAGTTGGCTGTTGCGATTATAAGACAACAAGCTGCTAGGATAGCACTTTTTAAACCCACAATTAAACCTTTACCTATTAGTAAAACTTTCTCTGGAAGGAACATGTCAGCATTTAAATTAATGCTGAGATGAACTAGAGCAAAACAAACAAAATGATTG